ATGCCCAATGTGTTCACTTAAGTTTTTAACTTAATACTATAATTAGTTAAATCTCTGAGTAGAAGGCAAAGTACCATCATTTGTCATCACTGATTCCTTTCCTATATAAGACTGAAAACAAGGCTGGGACTTTTGTTTCACTAAAAATTTCAACTATACAGTGTATTAATGCTATTATTGTAAGTAGTTCAAAATTGCCATGTTGAATAAAAGCATACACAAATGTCAGCACAATGTTGGTCATAGTCCATAACTACATCTAAACCCAGGTTTAATGATGCCTTTATAACTTTAGCTTATACAATTTTTGAGACTCTCTTTAAGGAAATAACATACGACCCAGTTGGTTAAGAGGACTCAGAAGGGGCCGGTGTAGGCGAGGACCCCCAGTGATATTATTTCCCTAATAAATCTGTCTCTGAGCAACACAATATGCGGTTTGTTGAAGGAAGGAGTGGCTGTTAGAAGACTTAGGAAATTCTATCTCATTTTCTTAATTTAATAGGATTTTTAAAGGTCTCTTGTTTTCATTTGATTTTTTTCAATTAGAAAACTCTTCCTCCAGCTTCAAGCATTATTTTAAAAAATTATCTCCCAGACATGTAATATTCCAAGATAACATCAAATAAGATAAAGATGTTTTATTTATAGAGAAAGTTTGATTGCCATAGCTTTTTGCATTTGCAGGTCAGTGAGTGTAATATATTCCATATTTTGTTGCTGTTTTCCAGTACTAAACATCTCCACATTTTGCACGTGAGTCATAAAAGTTAGTAAGATAGTTTGGATGAAGAGCAATAAGGCCAGAAGAAAGAATAATGCATAACATGAATTCCTCAGGAAATCAATTAATGTTTTTATGAGAAATAGTAAGAAATATGATCAAGGGTTAACAGAGAGTAAGGTCAGACTATTTGATCCCCAAATATATTCCTTGTTGAGTTCTATCAATGTATAAATATTCTGTGCTGAGTCAAAACTAAAATCTTGACACCCTCAAGAGTAAAACATTTTATGTGTTAGAAGGTGCAGAACTCTTTAGTTGGGTGTGACTTTGATAGGATATATACACTGTAATTTCTGCAGAACTTTCAGGTTCCTAATTGACATTTTGTAGGTCACTGGACAGAGCAGTTATGTTGGTGTCCTGAATTATGTACTTTGTGCTATTAAAACACTGTATATATGAAAATGCATTTTTTTTTTTTTTTGGTACCTGGGATTGAACTCTGGTCCTTGCACTTGAGGGGCAGGCGGTGGAACCACTGAGCTAAATCCCCGGCCCGATGCACAAATATTTTTAAAGAAATTTTTGTTGAGGTAAGGAAAGCGATTCTGATACTGGGGTAACTGAGGACTAATATTGGAAAATAAATGTGACAGCTTATTCACATTACTTCTACTTTGTTAAGAACCATCAGGCTGGGGATTTAGCTCAGTGGTTTCGCCACCTGCTGCACAAGCTCAAGGACCCGAGTTTGATCCCTGGTACCAAAAAAAAAAAAGAACCATCACATTTTTCAGATTCACTCACTCATTCCTTCATTCATTCAACGAATACTGAACCCCAAATGGATGAATTTACTAATAAGAATATAGACTCAGGACAGGAATATAAAGCCATGAAACTAGTATAAGACTTCACTTTGAATCCTAGGAGGTGGCATTTTCTCTCAAATCATTCCTAATAATGGTAATAAGTATGCTGTAACCATTGCACATCTGTCAGGCTTTGTCTAGATGGACTGACATAACCATTTTTAGGGAAACCCTTGTCATTGTGTATTAGCTAATATACATTGCTCATCAGCAACAGATTAGCCTAGTAATTCAATGCAGCAAAGTGTAGAGAATCAATTTCATTTTGCAATTGAAATATTATATGTTTGAGCAAAAGTGTCCTAGATTTTAACATCTATTTTGAAGAAGTGTGAGTTAATCAAAATATTGGCATCTGTTTCTTGAGGTGGAAACTGTGTACAGCAGCTGTCATGGATATACAGAGGGCCATCCACATATCCAGTGGCAGGCAAATGACGAAAAAGATGAGAGCTATTCCAAGCCCAGAGCACAACGCAGGGGTGTGTTTCAGCTCCAAAATCGTGGCTATGGACATAGCACAGTGTATCCTGAGGCTTCCTTTTCAAATTCTGTGAATATCAGGCGATCTGGTTTTCAAACTTTTAGACATGAGAACCTTTTTGTGACATGAAATATTTCTTGACTAACCATACAATAAGAGTTACACTTTTATATCTGTTGATAGGATTTGAACTAAAGGCATCCAAACTAACCTCATTTAGTCAGTATGGAATCTTTTTAGTACAGTGTACCTCACTTCATGAATTTAATTCTTTCCATGATTCTGGTCACAAACTGATTTGGATGAGAACCAAATGAAATTTCCCCATAAGATCAACATTGACCCTAACCATTGAATTTGATTCAGTTCTTGTCCAATTCAGTTTGTAACTATAATTGTGGAAATAATTAAGCTTGTGAACAGAGGTACCAGTGTATTTAAATTAGGTTAACACCCTTTTGTGAAAGTTGGAGATCTGAAAAAATAGGGGGAAGGGCAACAATGAGGTCAGGTGGTCTCTACTGAGACATAAAAGCTATGGGAATTGATGTTGAAAAAGAGTGGGAGACCAGGGCAGTAAAGGCAGAAGGAAAAGGAAAGCATAACAACAAGTACATCCATTAGTTAATCATTTCTCCTTGTTCTTTTCCCAACTTCTTTAAATTTTAAACTGTGGTGGCTTAAAAGACATACATGACTTCTGTGATCCCTTTTAAGGTGGAGCCTATCTTCCTTTTGAGAGCAGGCTAGATCTAGTACCTGGTTTCCTAAGTAGAATAAAGTGGAAGTAATAGAGTATAGCTTTGGGGATTAGGTCCTAAAGACACCGTGGCTCCCTCTTTGTTCTCCTTTTTGGATAATTCACTCCAGGGAAAGTTAGCTGATGTCATGGGGACAACAGTCTAAAAGAGGGCCACATGGTAATGAACAGTGGTCTCCTGACAGCAGCCAAGGAGGAACTGAGGTCTTTTTTGCCAGTAGTAGTGGACTGAATCATGCTAGAAGTGGGACTTGCAGCAGCAGTCAAGCCTTCAGGCAGCTATATCTAACCTCCTGGGAGACCTAGAACCAGGACCACCTGGCTAAGACACTCATGGATAATTCCTGACCTGCAGAAATTCTACAAAATAACAAATGCTTATTATATTAAACTGTTAAAATTTGGGGCTATTTGTTATGCAGTAGTAAATAACTAATACACAAACTAACAAACATACCTCCCTAAACAACAAAACAGAATAAGTCAAAATTAAAACAAAGACCTACTACCTAGAATTTCCGAAGAATAAAGGAACATCCTGAACATAGGCATAAGACATTAGGTAAAAATTTCCCCTAAACTCTTTTACTCCAAAGGTACTGAAACAATTAAATTTATTAGTAATACAATTTTCCATAATTTGGAACTTAAATATGTATGCCACTACAACATTGCACCGTGTTAAAAAAGAAAGACAAAGGTCTTCAAGATATAAAATTACATAAAACCTCCAAACTTCTCAAAGCACAGTGACCAACAGAATGCAAAAGATGGGCCAAAGAAACTGGCCACCTTTTGCCGACAGTTAAAAATCTTAAAATGCAGCTTTACAGAATGGAACAACAGTAGGCAATGAGCAGGCAGAAGAAGAGCAGGCAATTTAATCATTAGTTTAAAAAAATTGTAACTCATTTTAAAAGGAAACATTTGCCAGCATTTTGATCTAGAATTCGGCAGCCATCTTAGGCCATTTGCAATCAGAACTGATGATGACTAAGGCTAGAAAGTGTGCTTTGATTTCTGTAATTCCCAAGAATGTCAAACGTTACTTGAGTTTGCATTCTAACACAATTATGATTATTAATCTAGAGGCATTTCTTCTCCTTCAGGTATAAGGCATCTCATTATTTTTTAACTTCCATTTGCTGTAATCTATTACATAACCAGGATTTTGTGAGCTGCATTGTATGCCTGATAGGGAGCTTTACTAATGATAAGATGCCAACCTGTGCACAGGTAACTTACGAGTTTTCAGCCAAAAATTAGGCCTCAGTAATATGCCCTGTTACCCATGCCCTTCTTCCAAAAGCTCCTTATGAAGTTGTAATTTTATGAGACTGACATGCTGCCTACTGTGCTAAGGAGGCAGGTTGAAGTTGTAATTTTAAAAGAAATGATTCTCATCAAAATTCAATACCATATTATAAGCATATATGCTTTCTTCCTTTCTAGCCTGCATAAAATTTATTATCAGGATTTTATCTATTTGTCCCTTCAACCTATAATTTAGTAAGCCTTTGTGTGCTGGAGTTGTGCTTCCTGCCCCCTTGACCAACAGCTTGTGGATAGAAATTCATTCCTATAGCGTTCAAGTCACATGCTTTGACCTCTTGGAACAAACACTTTCCATGTTTTTTATTCTGCTTCCTCAATAGGCACATTAGCTTTGTTCAACTCTATTTAAAATTATTTTTATGACACAATAAGATTTCGAGTTTTCCAGGTTAATATCCATCTTATTTCTTGAAACACTTTGGCAAACAGGGTCACTAAAACTTCCCTGATGGGGAATTTACTTTCTCTTTCCTCCTATATACTGCAAGGTAACTTTGTGGAAAGCATGTATCGTTGCACCACCTGAGCACTGCACGAGAAGTGCAAAAGTTTGGTATAGTGGCTCACAATGTCAGAATAAATACCTAGATAGACAATGAAAGCAGACAATCTTAATCCAACTTCTCTGAAAACAAATAGATTAAAATATTCATTAATTTTCACATGTAAGGTCCCACATAATAATTAAAAAATCTATTTTCTCAGATATTCATTCAAAGATATCTGAATTCAAAGGGAAAATGAAAACAAAAAATGAATCCTAGCCCATTTGCAAAAGATATCAAACACAGCACCATGGCCAAGAGTGCAGATGGTACTCACCCCACAGCCCAGGCTGCTGACCGCTTCACAGGTGACTTTCTTCTGGCCCTGCTCAGGCAGCAGCCCTGCTCCGCAGCCAGGGCGAGGGCACAGCACGCCTCCCATCTGCAGCACACACTCTTCAGCACCATATTGCTGGTACCGGTTATACTACGAGAAGGAAAGGCAAGGCGAGATTGTCAGAGTGACTGTGAACAGACAGGGTGTGCTGGTGCAGCCAAAGGGTTAACCATGGTGGAACATGGGGGTTTTGCTTAACCGGATTCAGTAAAAAATATGTAGGAGAAGAGGGATGTGGAGGGTGGGTTGTGGTACAATACAGAGAAAGTTTTTTAAACTCAAATACAAAATGGGCAAGTGAGGTGTTTGTTCTTTGCAATTTTGGCTTCAGAAAACAGATTTTCCAAAATTTGGTACTTAATGATATCTTGTCAACCAATTCTATTTAAGCGAGCTTAGTTCATATAAATTTTAAAGAATATCTGTATATTACATGGTGGAAACAAAATATATCATCATCAGTCTTCTAAAGCAATGTATTTTCATGCCTGTATTTAAGATTCTATGAAGTTTTATAACCATTTAGAAAGTAGTTGTTGTTGACCCAGATGACAGCAATGAGCATATTCAGCTTGAAGGAGAGCAGTAATCTTAGCAGCATTTTCCTTTTATCATTATTCTTATTGTAAAAGGAAAGTTTACTTTGCCTCAATCTAATGTTAACAGAAAAGCCTGGCAATTTCAGCATCCAAATCACTGCAAATATTTCTACCACCCTCACTGCAGCCTCAACACCTGCAGCACAGAGCCTAGGGCAGTGCCTTCACCCTCCCTCCAACATGAGAGAGGGCCATGAGCCCAGGGGACCCTTTTCTCTACCCTGGTTGGATGGCCTTGAAAGTCCACCCTTATGATTCCTTTCCCTATTCATATCCCATGACCTTGGTGCCTTAATTTGGGATCCCTGAGATGGAGAAAACCTCCCAATCCCCAAAACATTTCTCACAGTGTAATTCAGGAAGGTCTGGCAAATGCAGACTTGGGTTGCCCTTTTGGGAGATGGCCAGAAGTGGGTAGGGCGGGAGTTGAGGTGCCTTCCCATATTACCATTCTAAACCCTCCAGTATCTTTGAGATTCCTTCTCTATCTCAGGAGGGGGCCAGTTGAGATCTGTCTGTTTTGGGTCATTTTTATTTCTTTTTGAGCTCCAGATTCCTCAGTCTAACCTGGAGCTCTTAAGGCCAGAATCTGCCACTCCCCTGCTAAGGCCCATGTCTCTGTCATGTTCTTTTGACTTCACATCTTTGCTTAGTTCCCTGTAGTGTTGTTTCTCAACCTGCATCATAGTCAAATTCAAACTCCATGGTACCATATTCAAGGTTGTCTTCATTGCAGTTTTAAGTTATTGCTCTTCTCACATTATTTAATCTTATTATTCTGTAAATTCATATCAGGTCAAATGAATTTGCTCAGCTATTAATAATTAATTTATGTAGCATTTACTAGTGTGGGTCAAGTTGAAGACAGAGCAGTGGATAAAATAAACACCTCTGTCCTCATCCACAGACTATAACCAATGTGGAAGGTAAAAATGTACAGTGTTTCAAATGGTGATAAATGAGATTAATAAAGAGGGGAGAGATTCTTTCTGGAGTGAGGTGGAATCTCAGCGTTGTTCTCGTTTGGATCTCTTGAGAGACCAGTGATGTTGAACATTTTTTCATAAGTTTATTTTCTGTTTCTATTTCTTCATCTGAGAAATGTCTGTTCATTTCAGATGCCCATTTTTGAATTGGATCTTTAAATTTGGGAGGTCTGATTTTTTTAAAGTTCTTTATATATTCTAGATAGTAGACATTTGTCTAAGGAAGAGCTGTTACAATTTTTTTCCCACATTGTGGGTTGTCTCCTCACTCTGTTGGTGGTTTCTCTTGCTGTGCAGAAGCTTTTTAATAAGATGAGATCCCAGATGTTGATTCTTTGTGCTAGTTCATGTGTGACTGAAATTTCCTATGCCAATGTCTTCAGGAGTTCTATCTAACCTTCTTCTAGCAGGTTTAGTGTTTCTGTTTTAATATTTAGATCTTTGATCCATTTAGATTTTAGTTTAGTGCATGGTGATAGGTATGGGCCTAATTTTAATCTTTGGCAAGTCAAAACCCAGTTTTTCCAGCACCATTTATTAAAGAGGCTATCTCTGGGTGTTTGGCTTTTTTGTCAAAGATGAAGTGGCTGAGTATTTCTGGAGTTGTTTCTTCATCTTCTAATCTGTTCCATTGATCTTCAGGTTTGTTTCCTTGCCTGTACCATGCTGTTTTTATCACAATAGCTTTGTAGTATATTTTCAAGTTGGTAATTGTGATACCCCCTACCTTGTCTTTGTTGCCTGGACTGGTGCAACCACTGTGCAAATCTATATGGAGATTCCTCAAAAAACTAAAAGTATAAATGAGGACCATAATGTATAATAGATAAGGTGAAACAAGAGGAAAAGTTCCAAAGGGGAAGGGGAAGTATAGGGGTAAGGAGGAAAGAAGGGAAAGAAAAAAATATGAGAAAAGGAAAACACAGAAACAAAGTTTTTTGTAAATAGGGAGGGAAGGAGAGGTAGAAGGGAGAGAAGGGGAATGGGGAAGAAAGATGAACCAAGATATATCATGTACAGGTACAAATTCCCGATGATGAGTGTGATAATTACGTATACCTAAAATGTACCAATAAACTTAATGAATTAAAAAAAAGAGGGAAGAGCCAGGGATTTAGCTCAGTGGTTTCGCCGCCTGCTGTGCAAGCACAAGGACCCGAGTTCAATCCCTGGTACCAAAAAAAAAAAAAAAAGCAGTGGAAAAAAAAAGAGGGAAGAGATAGATTTCAAGGAAGACAGTTACAATTTTAAAGAGGTGAGTGTGAAATGCCTTTCAAAGGTGGTCCATTTGGGCAAACATTTGTAGGAAATTAGAAGGCAAGCTGTGGCAGGACCATAAGAATAAAGGACCCAAGGCTGTAATGTGCTTAGTTAGTTTGTGGTGCAGCCAGGAGGCTAATGGGACTGAGGCAGAGGGAAGAAATGTGGGGGGATAACAAAAGGTGAAGGCAGAGCATTCACAGGATCCAGGATATCTAGGTCCCTGACAGCCTTCGTAAGAACTCTGGCTGTTATTCTGAAAGATGCCAAAGCCCTGGAGAGCTCTGAGGGGAAGAGTAACCTGATCTAGTTAATGTGTTAAAGACATTCATCTGGCCTAAAGGTTTAGAGTAGGCTCTGGAGGACACAGGGGATGCAGGAGGCAGAGAAGCTTCTCTATTTATTTCTTTTTTCTAGGAGTTTCTTGGAAAAGGGAGTAGAGCCATGGATCAGCAGCTGGCAGGGGCAATGTGATAGAAAACAGGGAAATAACTATATGCTAGTATGCTGAAGGGAAGGGCAGGGAGAGGAAGGGTGAGTAGATGACATTGGGTAGAAAAAGCACCACATCTTGAGTGGTGGGAGTTATGGACCCACAGGATGTTTGGAGGGGTTAGTCTCAGGAGGGAAGAGACCATCTTTCTGGCAGAGTGTTTGCCCTAGGTATACACAGACAAGGAGGAGCTCGTCATGCGCAAGGAGAGGAAGAGGTCTGAAGGATAAAGAGTAGGAAAGGATGAGAGGAGGCAGAGCCCTTTTGTAATTAGAGGTGACAGCTTTAAAGGGAAACTAGCCAGCAGCAGGAAGTGCAGAGAAGAACATTACATTTAAGTCATGATGGAGTTTCCATCATGATGGAGTTTCTCCAGATTTGGATGAAGCTGTGAGACATTCATTCCTCCACCACTCTCATTCAACTTGCGCTTTTGCCTTGACCTCCCTTCCCATAACTTTGGCCAGAATTATCTGAGTCCCAAACATCCCTTTGGTGTCAGCCTTCCTTTGTATCTGGGTCTATGCAAACCCTTCTAGTGAAGGAGAACATTTCATTGTAGTATCACATGGATTCAGAAAGGTTTGCAAATGCAGAGCCTAATAAATTATAAGGTAACTAACTTTTAAATATTATCTATGTCAAGAGGAAGAACTTTTAAGGGGCTCCGGAACCCCTCTATTTCTCTGTTCTACCTTCACTCCTTCCTAAAAGAAACCATTTTTATTGTAATCATTTTCTTGTTTCTCTTTATAGATTGATCATCCAAGGCTCATTCCTAAACACTACAGTTCATTTTGTCTGCTTTCAAAATGTTTTCTAAACCATTACTCTCCATTCTCCTCTTTTCCCTGGCAATATATTTGTTGAAGAAACCAGGACATGTGATACATGGAATTTATACATCTGGATTTTCATGTCTATATCATTGTCTTGCCAGTCACAATGTTCCTTGATGCTCTGTGTCCTGTGAATTGATAGTTGACCTATAGACTCTATCAAATTCTTTGTCCACACTTCCCTACTTTCCTTGCTCTCTTCCTCTTTTATTTGTAATACTACTTTGCAGATGGTGTTTTAGACTTCCATCAGGGGTTCATGCCTGTCTCTTTTTCTGAAATATTTAGCAGTCATTAATATTCAGTAACTAGATTAATTTAGTAGAGTTAAAATGCAATTTTAATTAAACATTCCTTCATTTATTAGTTAGAATATTGCCATTATTTGGTGCTCCAATAGTATGGTTTGAATAGATATGGCAGAATAAAAATGTTTTATTTTTAAAAAAGAATATTATAGCCAGCTGTGATGATACACTTCTGTTATCCCAGGACTCTGAGAGGCTGAGGCAGAAGGACTGCAGGTTCAAGACCAGCCCAGGCAACTTAGTGACTTGGGCCTTGTCTCAAAATGGAAAAAAAAAAAAAAAAGCCTGGGGATGTATCTCAGTGTAAAAGTCCTGGGTTCAATACCTAGTGCCACAAAAATTTATTTATAAACGCATGGTCTTATTCTTATTAGGTGTGAAGTGTGTTTAAATTCACTGCAGTGATTTTCCATCTCAGTGCCCAGGTGTACCATGTCTGGCCAATGCGTGGTGTCCCTATAGAGAGATTTCTCAGCTCTTGATCACATGGATTGGTCCTGTGGAAGAGCTTCTTATTGTCTTCCATGGAAAGGTGTTCAGGTTCATTTTATGCATTTTCTGCCACAGACCAAGAAGCACTTTTCTTAAATATTTCAAGAGCACGA